GGTACATATGCACCTTATTAAGTATACAACAGAAACATAGGTAACTTGGGTAAATTGTATATAGTTATTGGTATCTGATGGTCCAGGGTCTAGAACCTTGATGATTTTTACGGTTCCGGTTCATGTTCGGTTCCCAGAAAAACTAAAACTTAGGTTTCGGATTCTTTTCAGTTATTAAAAAATAGAAAAAATTGTTACCGGTTTTGGTTTTTATACTTATGTAAAAAAATGTGTAAAGTAAAAGTATCGGTTTCTGTAAGGTTCCAGTTTTTAAACTAATTTAAATCAAGGTTCCAGTGAGCTTCTGGTATTAAAATTAATTTAAGTAAGGGTTTCATTGAGGTTTCAGTTCCCAATTTTCAAAGGGTTTTGAATCTGAAACCGGTTCTTTTCGGTGAGGTTCCAGTCCTGCCTGACACAGTATTCCATACCCACCTTACGACATAAAATTGCGAATATGTTCAGCGAATAATATTATGATTACACAAATATTGATAATATATTAATAGTAACAGTGTAACAAAACAATAATAAAAACAAAATATCTATAAAGTTCATAATTAGGTAGGTTCCTATGTCATATACAAAATTCATAATTACTTGGTCCAAATAACCGTACTTACCTAATAACTACATACAAGTTACACGTTCGACGTGCCTAGGTGTATTTTTCGGGAATTTATTGAAAATAGTTTTTTTCGTAATCATCAAAGTCATATTTTCATTTTTTTTTTTTTTTATCTTCGACGATTGACGTTTAAAATAATATTAAAAAAAATAAGTCATGTATTAAAAACGGCGAATGGTCTTAATTAACCGAAACACATGTGCAGTTATAGGTGACGGTTATAATATTATTTTGTCACAACAATAAATAATCATCTCTATAACATTTCACGTTTGGCATACAGGACGATTCAACAAACATGTTCGTATTGTTTTGTTCAATAACGTAGTTGTTCAAAATCTGATTTTCTTAATTTTTAAACGTTGTATATTTAATTCTTGAGATGATTTTTAGTGTTTTGTTTTTTAAACGAGAACTCCCTTTTTACTGTTAATTAATTAGCAGATATTTCTTCAGAAATTGATGTCGTTTCACTATAAAAATTCGAACGACTATCCGATACGTAGTTTTTTAGTTTAAGAATTTACCTTTGTGTACTGAGAATAATTATTATCCTATATTATATGGCTGCTTCATAATTTGAGTGACTGATATTAACCTATTGATATTTATAATTTGTTAAAACTTGACTCCAAAACTGTACAGTATTGTGGTTACCACTTACTTGATTTCCAATTTTTTTTTTTTTAATAATAACGTTTTTGACTTTTATTGCAAAATAATTCAGACATTTGAGAAATCGATTTATATATTGTATGGATGTTAAAATAATATAATGTAATGTGTAGGCATCGGAGGCAATCGCTTATTTTGGAATCTGCATCGGTACATTTATAATTTCGAAACGTTTTCCCTTGTGCAGCGCGTATTGTATAGTTGCATACAAAAGCCGTCGAATATTTTGCTCTGACGAATAATCGTAAATTAGTCGATCGGCTTATACTCGCGAGACAAAAATATAACGACAGAGGATCTCGATCTATTATACTATATTATCATAATATAATATGTCATCGATCGACTTTTTTTTCCGTCTCGTTCATTATAAATTAGTTAAATATTCCATGACAATATATGATACACCATTAAATATTTATACCTCTATTATATGCACAATACGAATATACACATCTGCTGAGGGTCGAAACAAATCCAAACAAAAAATAAATGTACCTACTGAAAATATATAAAAAATAGGTTCTTGGAATCCAAACGATTTCTCTAGAGATCGTCCCTCCGATGAGGAAGGTCTATCATCTCATTTCTGTTATACATATTATACCTAAGTACATATAGTATAATTGATGGCATCGGATGGTTCGTTGAGTCGAACTTTTTTTAAATATTTTAATTATAAAATAATAAACATACTATTATTAAAGCCTTCAGCAGACTTATAAAAATGTTCGAGCGATAATTCAAATCAGCTGAGTGAAAAAAATATTCATCAGATATCATTGTTAATTTATATTCGTTGTGAGTTTGGTTTTATTGCTTGACGGATTTCACGATAAAATGGATTTGAACCATAGGTGTGCACTTAACAAACATCGGGTTTGCATGGACAATTTTCTGTAAACTACAATTTTGAAGATAACATAGAAACATAAAACTTAGAAAGGTGAAAATAAACTAATAAGTGGACTATACTAATTTCGATATGCTCTTACAGGTGCCGCCAATGTAATAATATATAATTATACCACCCAAATAAACCTACGAATAGGTAACTATTACTTAGGTATCACAAATAGCGAGCTCGCCGAAATGTGTATTAAATCTGCACCAACATATTATTATAATATTATTTGGGACATCTATGTAATTTATTCTGAATGTGTATAGAAGCGATTGACTATAGGTATGTATATAAGTAAATTGTATTATAATTATTATTCATTTATACACGCGAAAATATTCCTTAACTATTATGCAAATTTAATAGGTGTATAAAATTTTCAAAAAAGTGTTTGTATTTAGTATATTTGTATACAAATTGAACGACTAAAATATATTATTTATGGACGGTATTGTCTCCGTGATAAGCGTTAATGACTTATGAGTTTAACAATTTCGAACAAATTTATATTTATTCACTGTTTTACTAAATCGCTAAATAAAACAGTCTAGTACAAAAAAAATAAATGATTGAAACCATTCACCAAAATTCAATTAAAAAAAAAAAAGATAGAAAAGTATCAATAGGAACAATAACACCGTGGGGCGCTTTGCAAAAATATGATCTGTATCATATAATTAATATTATATATTCTAACTAAACAAATAGGTAATTCTAAAAACATCGTTTGTTGAAACAAAATAAATTTTTTTATATAATTTTATGCAATGTGAATAGGTACTTTCAGGGTCATAGATGCAAAATGTTCTATGAATTTAGTGGTATAATGTATAATTAATAATATTATATACATCAAAGTACCTACACTAAACAATGACCTATATTAATTACGGTATAGGTACCATAGAATAAATAATTCAATTTGCATGGAATCATTAAGATACTTAAGCTATTTCAATGTCAAAACTCAGAAATCAAATGTCGGAGTTGAGGAGAATCTACGAGAAATTCGGAAAAATGTTATACTCAGCGTTTTTGTGCTGCTTCAACCCGAGGCTTAACATATACTTTACCTTATACACGCCAAAACCTACTTTTACTTCAAGATGGGGGTGGGTTTCCGAATAAAAACTTTTATTTTTTATTTTCAATTTGAATATCTGTATCCCCTTATAATAATAATATTAGTAACCAGTGCAAAGACGATTTTAGCAGTGTTAAACTCGTAGGTACCTCAGTGAAAGATTTCGAGTTTAGAAAATCAAAAACAAACCTTTGGTAGAATGAGAGTATTATAGGTAAACAATGTTTACAAAAATGGTACAGTGGTCACTCGTCAGTGTGTTTGGAAGGAACGGATTACTTTAACGAATTCCTATTTAAAGAACGGCACGTTAAAAGAATTTATTTTTTAAAAAAAAGAACGAGAAAATATGAACTAGTTCTTTTTTATAAGTAACTTGCCAAACATTGACAGTGGTACACGACATGACAAATATAATATAATGTCACAAACAAACTAGGGGAGGTAGGCGGTCGCAGTATTTAATATCGTAGTAACTTGAAACGGTACACATATCGTTTGCTCACTAGTCCATACCACGATTCCATTTAAATCCACTACTCCAATATGGGACCGACTCAGTGTATTAATGAGATATTATTAATGTATTTATACACGCCAAATACATATTATTATTTTGAATCACATGTCTGAAGTGCAGTAGAGGTTGTATTATTAATAAAATTATGATATTTGTCGTGCCGACCATCAGCCAATTTATTTAATAGGGCCGGAATAGCTAATCACATAACATATCAAATTCAGAATCATATATAATTTTTAAATTCATTCGGCTCGACCTTCGCTGAAAAACGTATACTCTACACGTAGGATAGTACATCGTGCGTACTTTGCTTCAGCGCTGGCGTTTTAATAATAATTACATTCAATTCCAGTGGTGCAACCAAAAAAGGTTTTATCTGAAACTTTTGTTTTCGTAACATGCCCAGCATAGGTGAAATTAGGTGATGGCTGGGTGGCTTAGAGCCCCCCCTCCAAAATACATATTGGATAAGACTTGAAAATTGTTTTTCTCAATTTGAAAAACAATTGTTGGCTAATAATAAGTACCAACTTATGCTACAAAGTATAAGACTGTTTCTAAAATTTGGCAAATGCTTAGATTTGTGGTACCATTTAAGTAGTGTCCTGCAGTGGCCAGTGACATATTTGCTTCTTTTTTTTTCAAATGAGTACCAACCTTTTTTTACCGTAATACTGGATAAATATTGATGTATAATTATATTAATATTATCACAATCCATCTTTAAATAATTTATCAATTTAGAATAGAAAGATGAAGTAGGGTAAATGTCCACACATATTAATATGGACGAAAATATGATGGCTACAGGCTCCCTAAACTTTTTAACATTGCACCGCCATATGGGGGCTGTACTATTTGCACATTATTTACCCTCTATGCACCAAAGTTTAATGAACAAAATAGCATAATTTTCAATATAAAATTGGGTTTCACTCATGACACTGAAGCCCACTTTCCTTAGCATTTGTTAGTTTGTATATGTTGTCTCCGGGCTTGTATATATGTACGGCTTTGTTTACATTTTCTATTTACATAGTTCGGGCTGACCTAAGTCCGCCGACTTAGTCTAATCGTTAAAATCCTCTGGCCAGCTTTAACTAGGCACCCTGGAATCCCATCCAGCTCTGTGTACTTTTATTGAGCCAGACAACGCACTTTGCTCTTGACGTTTTGAACTTTACTGTCATTCTTCAGTCTGACTTGCCTTTTTTCTTCCTCCTTGAGTGACAGGATGTCCTCCACCATTTTTTAGTAGATTCTGAACGTCTCTTTCAAAGTGATCTTCCGGTAAATTTTCGCACAGGATATCGAACATATCTTTAACGACGGGGATAGGGTCTGAGACGCGTACCGAGATCTGGCAACGGAACAATGTGAGTTCAACCATTTCTGACAAGCGAGGGCACTAAATACAGCGGTGGCTGATTGCTCCTGCCTGTGGAAGGTAATACTGAAAGCAACCATATCCCGTTAACATCTGTGTCATGTGGTATGTCATGGTAACGTTGGGTATGGTTCATCCTACCTACCTAATGTCTTTTCAAAAGACCCGGTGAGTCCAGTGGTACTGACCCTCTATTTTCTTTGACATTCAACGATGGTGTTCCTATGTACTAACTATAAACATTCAGGATAACAATAATAAAAATATGTAGCTGCCTAAATTTTAGAATAATATAGAAATAATGGAATTTCCATGATTTTCAAAAATCAAAATGAAACGAACAACAATAAATCCATCGGTCACAACGGTAAGCCATATAATATCATCTTATTATTATAGTCTCACGTTGCAAGCAGAACGTGTTGATAAGTTTAACTTCATATTATTATATAACATAAATATATTCCCGAGCGAGCGTGTGTGTCTGTGGTGTTTACACGTTTACTATACCCGGTCGCACCACAGTTGCTTTTGGGAATTTTTACTAGTTGTAAATTAAGTCGTGACCCTAACTCATATACTACATTTATATATATATATATTTTTATGTGTGTATTATATGCGTCTCACTCATGCATGGTCAGAAGTATTTTAATAAAAAGCGACGGTGCTAACTGCACGAAACCAATGAGCAGCTCCCAGACCGTATTACTTTGATGAAACAATCGACAGGGTGAGAGAGAAAGGGTAAGAGTGAGAGAGTGAGAGAGAGAGAGAGAGAGAGAGAGAGATAGGGAGAAATAGAGTGTCTGTGTGAGTAAGGTGTGCTATATACCACTACAACAGTCATATATATATATATAAATATATATTATATAATATACACAATACGCACACAGGTGCACTATACTCGTCATCGATACCTTTTTACGGCACCCGGCGGGCCACGTGAGGTCCATAAAGTATATAGAGGAACTTTTACGTTCTCGTATGAAAAACAAATCGATTTCACACTAGGAATTTATCGCAGAGCAATATAATAGCACGTCGGATTTAATTAAGCGACCACCGTCTCCTGTGCTGCGTGATATCGTCTTTATTATATTATTATATCATCCGAACACCGTTCTCGACCGAATGAAAAATAAATCGTACGCCTTATATCCGGAACCGCGGTATAATAAATTGCTAGGGGTCAGTTCGTACCTCGAAAGATCGGCAAATTGTTTGCTTTTACCCAAGTATTGAGACTTATTTTAGTTGTAGGTACCCATAATGATAAATAATATTATGTACACAAGAGTTTATTAATAAAAATGTTGACATATCTGGGGTGCAAAATTATACATTTTCCATCCCCCCCTAAAAAAAATATCAGGGGAGGCAAGTGCCCCACCCAATAGCGTAATTGCCTTAGACATTATAATATATATACATATGGTACTAATATGTATTTAAATAGCTGCACACTATATAAGAACTTCGTGCATTACTCAAATTAATTTACCCGTGTAATAAATAATAATTAATATTAATATTCATCAATATGATGCAATAGAAGTTACACAAATTAAACTTACAACAATTCGTTTGACTACATGATGTAAATATAAAGATTTGTGGCCACGTGGGAGGCTTGGGCCCATTATATTTTCATATTATTTAATTTGTAGTTCGTGTTTGGGTGTTTGGCACCAATGTGGAGTAATAGCCACCACAATCAAACTCGACGACCACCGATCAAAGTATAATTTATAACAACAATTATAAAATAATGTATTTTTATATTAAATCAGTTTTATAAAACTTATGTGTTCAATACTCTTTACAATAATATGACTTAGGTATAACATAAATAGTAACTATTAAACTTTTTGGTTTGGCCAAAAAGGGAATAGCAAGATTTTGGTCTAAAAAGGTCTCACCCCTTACGACAACTTATTTTTGTTCGATGTGAGATTCACACTGCGTATTATTGCAATGCCACGACAGGCCGTTCAGGTTAGGGTAAAATCGGTTAGTGGCTGAGTATTCATTTGAGTCACGGGGATATATTAAAAAGTACCTCTACGGTTGTTTTTTCTCTCGTTCACGAACGAACATAATATATTATGTGCTCGCCCATATTATAATATAAAACACTAATAGAATTTAAATTTTTTTTATTTTATATATTAAGTATACCAATTATAATACGTTCAATTTATTTTTATAAATATATTGCAATTTTATATACTATTAGACGACTATATTAAAATACACTTCAACCCCGTGAATATAATTTACAGCGTAATATGTTCATTTATTTGTATGCTATAAATCACGCGTGTCCCGTAGCATCCCAGCTATTTGTGTTTGTGTACAAAAACACGGCACGTAATATATTTTTGCTATTGTGTAAACACTAAACACCCTCTCCAGCGTGTTGGAACGTAATCGTAGGGTAGTCGTTATTTGTCATGGGTGAATCCTTTGTGAGTGTGGGTGTGTGTAGAAACCAGAATAAAGTCGGCTGTTTGCAATTTGCGAATTTTTCAGTCAACTCAATCCAAATAATAGGCGAAATATTATTAAAATAATACTACATAGATACCTACGTCAAACATAATAAGTCCAATTTCCTTAAGCAGGTAATTTATTTGGCTGTAGAACCTTGGACGTGGTAAATTTTACAGGTACGTAAAAGTAAATTTAGTTACCTTTTACTGTAAAACTTTTACATGGAGATTTTGCGCACATTTTATCTTACTTTTGGTGACTGTATTGTACATATTGTTTTATAGTATAATGTAGTGAATTATTACGTCAAATTAATTGTTGGTCGTAAAAATGTACAAATCTAAATACACCTTTATTGTCAGAGGTACCTCTGTATAAACAAATTTGAACCAGCGATAAAAATATTGGCCTGGTTGAACTACCGGTATAAATATACCAGAAGGCCTAACCTTTATACGATGAATTATGATTATGTCGATAGTCGAGTCGGAGAGTTTGGTTTGAGGGTTCATACCGTTTGTATCGTGGTAAATAAATTATGAGCAGTACACCTTGTATGTATAGCTGTTCCAATACGTTTTTGTTTTTATTGTATTAGGTTTATTGCTACTGATATCGTCTGGAACGAAATAATAACAAAGTCAGTTACCTATTGGCTGAAAATCGATTTTGCTAGAAGTATATTTTTATTTGTTCGCAATAACATAATACATCAGTCGTTTCAGTAAAATAAATCAAAACCTAATGATATTTATTATTATGCAAATAGTTTCATTAAGTATTTTCCGTGTGCATTCGACGAGTATATTTTTACAGCAATTAGTTTTACACTTTTACTTAATACGGATATTATGAGGTGTTTTAAAATAATTACTGAGTGTATATTTTAATGGTTACGAGTGTTACAAGCATTGTATAGTATTGTACTATTATGAGTATAGATTAAAGACATTCGGAAAATATGTTGGAATTCTATTAATACGAAGTACACAACACCATAATATTATAATTACTCTACTACATTATATATATAATATTTAATAAACTAAAATTACTTGAACTGCACTAATGTGTGGACTGACCTAAATAAGTTTTAAAAGTTATACACAGAATTTTATAAGAAAAATACACAAAACAGCTAGTATAGTTAGGTATAGCGTTTGAAAATCACTCTTGTTTCGAAACGATAAAACTGCTATTAAAGAAGCAATATATTTTCTTGAGGTGCTTGTTCAATTAAATATAACGTCCTATTTTAAATGGAGACGTAATTTAACATTTCTCGACAAAATGTATATCGGTCAAAATTATATTCAAATCAATTATTTTGAAAATGTAATCTTCACATGCATTTGCACTAGTAAGAACCTATAAATTATTATTAACGTTAATGAATAACTACCTTCTCAGTTATTAAACGCGACCAAAACTTAATACATACATTTAATAACAGAGTTCACAATATTACACATACTACTAAAATGTTCCAACAAAAATTACGCGTCAACGACAATATTTGACATATAATCTGAAATTTAAGAATTCATATTATTGGAACCAAGTGCGCCTGTTGGATACGAATTTTAAAACGCACCGTGTGTATGTATGATACACTGATTTACATAAATTATATTACTATAATTATAGACTCTAAAAACCACTCAAAGTCATGTTCAACAAAAACTCAAGATAACCTTACCAACACAAGCAAACTTTAAAGAATGCTGTACCAGAAGACACTGATTGTCACATGAGACGTATATCTTTTCAATCCAAAATTAAAATAACCGTCTGAAAAAGGAAGAAAACAACAAAAGTCTGGAAATCCAAATCAGGTACTGGCACCTTTTGAACTTATCGGTATCGGTTCCGGTACTGATTATCTAAAAATAAAATAACTGTTCCGGACGTTCCTATTCGATTCTGGTTTTTTGATAAAAAAAAAAAGAAGCAAAGTTCGTCCCGTAGAAGTGTATTACCTACCTATCACCTATTTCAATAATATCACGGCTAATTCCTAACACGCATAACGGGTTAGGTTAGGTGTAAACTAACACGTGATGCGAAATATATAATAGAATATAATATGTATGGGAAATTGGAATACAAATTTTTTGGGTGCGGTTGTATATTATCATATTGTGTGGGTACGGAGATATTGGGTCATCGTCCGGGGACGGTATAATATATATTATATATTGTATTTATAAGTTAGGACATATTATTTAATATATAAGACTATATTGAACATAAAAAAATAAACATAAATAAACATTTAAAGTTTTGAAACAGAATATCAACCTAAGTACCACATATACATATATAAATTGAATCTCAACATCCAAGGAATACAGCCATGTATAGGTATTCCACTGCGTCATTGGTTGCTTTGGTGAATTTTCTATGTATATCCTCGACAGGCAGTCAAAACTAAGCACTGCATTAACTGCGGCAACAATCGCACTCCGAGCTCTCCCATAACTTCCATTTCTGCTGCAGTAGTT